TCAGTATCACATGGTTTTGCTTTCCTCACCTGAAACCTTGATCATTGCCTTGCTTGTTTTTTAAATGCATATATAGAGATGGGCAGGTGTTATTTCTACACCAGTTATATTGTCTTCATACCTAGTGGTTCCTATATCATAAATTAGGAACCATTGTTCTAGATCAGGAGTATCCAAGCTTGACAACTTTAAGACTTGTAGACTTCAACTGCCAGAATCCCCCAGGCTGGCTGACTTCCTGGCTGGGGAATTCTAGGAGTTGAAGTCCACAAGTCTTAAAATTGCCAAGGTTGGATAGCAAAGTCTTTTACCATGATGCCATGTGGCAGGTTCATACTTGTACTAATGTAATGTACCTTTCCTAACCTGATATGTTCTCTTTGAGTGTTTGTTCAACAAATTACAATTAAAACAAAACAATAGCTTCATGCCTTATGGTATCAGTCAGCACTTGATTGATATGACTGAGAAGTAATGAGTTTAAAGATGCAGAAAAAAAGAGAAAAGGATACCATGACACATAGTTCTGAGTAAAGAGAAAGTGATAAAAGACATCTTGTGTTTAATAGGCACCATGGAGGGACTCTGAAAATGACTTAGCATTGAAACTTATCGAGTATGCTCTACCCAACCTGTTCATGCTGTGTAAAAACTGATGGTTTTTAGAGCAAGAGAAAAGTGAGGTTATTTGGAGAAGATCCATTAATACAATTAGTTCCGTGATTTACGTAGAAGAAAACACTTCTACAGTGTGCCGAAATTATCTTAACAGCCAAGATCAATTGAGCAGGAACTCTGTAGGTTTTTTCATACATCAAGGCTCCCTAAAGGAAACAGTGCAGATCAGTAAGTCTTCCCTTATATTATTATGATGTATTAGGATGATAATACATCAGGAAGGCACCAGGTAAAAGAAAATAAGACAAGACTAGACTGGATTTTCAACTGGAAGTGGCGAGCTTGAGAACTTTCTTGGCTAGGATTTCCAGAGATGTACTGGAAAAAAAAAAGTGACCACTAGATGCCATCAAAGAGTTAGAGTTCCTCATCTCTTTCCTAATATCAAGTGGTCATTCCGATCTGGTAGCTTAGCTTTTGGGTGCAAGGTTATGGGTAACGCTCCAACTGTCTTACAACCTCTACTATAATGATGTTGCTGTGCAGAAAACTTGAGAGATAGACCAGGTAGCTATCCAGGTCAGTGATGCTTATCTGGCATCCAAGAGGTGGTTGGACTGGATGACCTCTCTTTCTAATTTACAGTTCTAGGATTATATTCCTTGGTGAGAGTAATAAGACTTGTAATTCGGTGGAGTCAGCCATTTCTACCAAGTTCATCTTTGTGAGTCAAAAGAGTTGATTGAAGAACAATGAGAAAACTACAATGCTATGGGGGAGAGAGGGGTGTTCTGAAACATTTAATACATGGTTATAACTTCAAAATGACATCTGTGTATGAATTAAGACACCGAAGCTTATGCAATTGTCAGGCAGGCTGGGCTTAAGAATGAAGGAAACATGATCACTTAGAAAAAGAAGCTTAATGAATTCCAAGTGCAGGCACTGGAATGATACATGATTGGTATATACAGTTAATGACTATGTCTCTTAGCTTCAAAAGTTCTAACTCGGAAGAATTGATGAGCATCTTCTCCGGGCCAAAAATTACAATAATGAACATTCCATGTTTCCTACCCTTGCAAGCTAATGGGTTTCTTTAAGCACCTAGATAAGATTCGGGAAATAAGCTGACTCTGGTCAAATATAGGGCCAAGCTAGGGCTATGGAGCTAAATTCAGCCACCATTGTCTCTAGGCGTAATTGGAGACCACTATGTCTTAGTCCAGCTGTGAAGGTTGCAAAAGATCATTTAAGAAACCCCATCTCGCCAAGCCAGGTAGAATGTGTGGAAAAGTTGGGGGAACTCATTTTTGGGCAGACTGCTTTTTTATGGGGAAAAAAGTTTCAGACAAGAAGTTGATTACTCCAGTTTCGTTTCAATGACCCCTTTGTGTTTTTCCCCCCCAAGTGATTGGCCTGTTGTGGACTTGAGATAAATATTTGCATGTTTGGGTGGTTCCAAATTTTGTGTGTAAGTATCTGGGCAATTTTTATTTGCGGTTGATTTTTTTTTTTTATTGGAATAAAATACAAAGAAAAATGAAAATATTGTGAAGATAGAGGAGGAAAAGGAGAAGAGGAAAAAGGGTAGGATAAAGGAAAAAGAAAACTATTGACTTCCGGCTGCTTCTGGCACAGTAGATTAGTAACATATAACCTCGACTTTTTACTTTAATATAATAATATATACCAGCCATTTCTATAACAATAAGCCTCTCTAATCAAGAAAACCAAAAATCAAGGATTCATTTTGTTCCCACCCTCAAGCACAAAGTCCAAAAGTGGTTTCCAAGTAGAAATAGAATTAATTGTAGTGACTGGGTAATTTTTAGATGCACTTGCCTGTAGCCTCCCTCCCTCCAGACTGAAGAAGCTGCTTGGATAAGCATCCAAATGTTTTCAGACCCCAAAAAGAAAAGAAGTTCAGGTGCCATGACTCAACTTCCAGACAGTTCTGCTTGAATGCCTGAGAATCTTCATCGACCGAAAGCTCAGGAGGTTATAACAACCTCTGAGGACTACATGCAAACTTGAAGGCATTGATTACCTTCCTTGGTCCTAGATCATTAGAATTGTAACAGGATATTGGAAAGACATGTTTCATTGCAATGTGTGTATTTGAGTGAAGAAAGAGGCATTTCAGGAAAGAGGCGACTAGAACTCCAGCACAGCATTAAAGAATAGGATGTCAAACTGACAGCTATGGCAAATCTAGACAGCATACTAAAAAGCAGAGACATCACTCTGCCAACAAAAGTGTGTATAGTCAAGGCTATGGTTTTCCCCATTGCAATGTATGGCTGTGAAATTTGGACCATAAGGAAGGCTGAGCACCAAAGAATTGAGGCCTCTGAACTATGGTGCTGGAAAAGTTTCCTGCAAGTCCGTTGGACTGCAAGGCGATCAAACCGGTCAGTCCTAGAGGAGATCAACCCTGGCTGCTCTTTAGAAGGCCAGATCCTGAAGAGGAAACTCAAGTCCTTTAGCCACCTAATGAGAAGAAAGGACTCACTGGAGAAGAATCTATGCTGGGAAAGATTGAGGGCAAAAGAAGAAGGGGATGACAGAGAATGCGGTGGCTGGATGGAGTCACCGAAGCAGTCGACGTAAGCTTAAATGGACTCCNACGACTCAAGCAGCGTTGAGGTGATACGACTCAAGCAGCGTTGAGGTGATACGACTCAAGCAGCGTTGAGGTGATACGACTCAAGCAGCGTTGAGTTGCATTGAGTTAATTCATCTCACGTGGCATTGGGTTGATTCATCTCGGCAGTCGTTGAATTGATTCAACTCAGCAGTCGTTGGTTTGATTCAACTCAAGACGCGTTGAGTTGATTCCATTCAAGAAGCGTTGAGCTGACTCAAAAAGGAGAACTCATGTTTCTTGAGAGGGACCAGTCAGGATTCTTGAGTCCCCTGGTGACCATAGAGCTTAGGAAGCCAAATGCTGCTTGCTGAGGTCTAAATCAAAACAATCTGGGACTTCTGAATGTTGCTGAACCACAACTCACAGAGTCTGGAAGAAGCAGGCCGAATGGAAAAGACTGCTAGGGGTAGTAGGCCAGGCATATTTGGAATGCCACATGTTCTCAACTTCTAATCAAGGCTTAAAATTTGCACACAGAGGTTGTTTTGACTCCTTTTCCTCCTTGAAAACTTTCATCCTATCAGCAGTTACCCCACTCTTTCTTCACTTGGGCTATATGTCCAGTTTAGGTTTTTGAACCTCCTGCTTTTAGCTCCTTTAGGTTCCTCACCTCATTTTCTGTAGGATCTTTTTTTCCCACCCAAATGTTCCAATGCTCCTTTGCTCTGTGGCTACTTCATAGCCCTTCTCCCTTGTTGCATCAGTTCCATGGAACCTTCTGAAACGGGCCTTCTGGCTCAGCCAATCAGTTTCCTATTTCAGTGTACAATGGAGTGGGCGTTCCTGGTGTACCACCAAGTTATATATCAGCCATGTCAGGAGAGAGCCAACGAGGTGTAGTGGTTAACGTGTTGGACCAAGATGCCTCCAGTTGAAATGGGTAGGGACAAGACGAGAAAGAAAGCTCCAGGCCTTCTCAACCATGTTTGTATTTTGGTTGTGAGAATTAGAAGAGAGAAGAGAGAGAAGAAAGAGAAGGAGCTAGAAGGGTTAAATTAAATACACAGTCCATTATACATGGCCATGAGATGAACCTTGATTAACATGTGAGTCAGCAGTGAGTACCAACTTCCCAGATTTGTTTTATTTTAAAAAGATGTTGATTTTTGAATTTTGGAATACGGGTGATTTGCTTTAATGGTGTATGGGGATGACCTTGGGAGACAGAAGGAAGACTTCCACCCGAGGCAGCAAATTTTCAGTTCTGACCTAGGCTTCCCCAGCAGTACAAAGCTGAGTCCTCGTCCCGATAAACCCCTTTTATTTAATTTACAGTGAATTCCTCTCCAGCAAAGTCTTTCCTTCCCACAGTCTTTCAAGACAGTTCCCAATTACCAACCTTTATCAGGCTTGGAGAGTGGCCAGGGCGAGATCTTTCAGACTCCACTGCAATACTTGGCAAGAATGCAGGAATGAACTAATTGTCTCCTGCAAACTCCTTTCCCCTTTCACTCCTCTTTATTCCCTATGGGAGGGGCCATTCACCATTCACCTGTGGCCTTACTCCCAAGTCAAGCCCTGTGTTTAGCTGTTCCCTTAGTCTGGCAACTCTGCACATGCGCACACTGGGAACAGGCTCCGGCTGTTTGTCTGCCTCACTGAAATCTGACTCTGAAGGCAGCCCTGGCCCCCTCTCTGCCTCCGATGCCGAGTCTCCGTCAGAGCCTTCCCCAGACTCCAGGACTCGCCCATGTTCCTCCCCAACCTCCTCACCGTCTGAATTTGCTGCCAGGCTCTGCGGGCCACTGGTGGGCCACAACATTTTCTTCCTGTCTCCCAAGGTTTAGACTATATTAACCAATCAGGTCCTACTTCAATTCATTCATCTCCTGTCTTTAGTTTGCAGCCCTGTATGCATACTTTCTGCGCCGCTTGCTACTCAGGATGGATGGAGCGATCTTCTCTCTGTCCAACATGCCGCTGTCCCGTGGAACGGATCTGTAAAAATCACATTTTGAACAATTTGGTCGAAGCATATCTCATCCAACACCCAGGTACGAGAGGAACATGGAATATCTGCAAGCGTTTTTGTCATTAAAAATACTCTTCTTCTGCCATATTCATCATTGAACGTTGACGATCATGGCGGCAATCCTATTTTTGTCAACAGCCCCTTGAAAATGTGCTGTTGAGTTTTGTCCAAATGGGTCCCTTAGATTTTGAAGCCACAATGCTCTTCTTCTACCTGGACCTCATTTGCCTTCCATCTTTCCCTAGATGATTAAGGGAAGGATGTCGTATTTTCTGTGTTCATGTCCGAAATAATCTAACTTTAGCTTTTTAATGGCTTTGATGATTTCCCTTGGCTTTCCCTGGCGTCTTATCACCACCTCATTTGTGATTTGGTCAAAGCAGTTTGTACGTAACAGCCATTTAAAAATACTTATGTTGTTTTTTTCATTGTTAACAATTCAACATTGCATGGACATATGGGTGATGCACAGAACAACAAATGGACCCCAATGATTTGTGCTCTGAGGCAGTTGAAAAATATTTTGGGAATGGACTACAGGCAGTCCTCGACTTAGGACCACAAATGAGCCCCCCAAATTTATGTTGCTAAGAGAGAAATTTGTTCAGTTAGCTTTGCCCCATTTTATTGACTTTTCTTGCTTCTTCATTATAAATATGAACCAGTTGTCATTTACATACAAATGTAAATCACATGACCATGGGGGTGCTGCAGAGGTCATAAGTCACTTTTTTCAGCGTTTTTCGTAACTTTCATTGCTCACCAAATGAACTGTCGTAAGTTGAGGAACTGTCTGTCTTAAGCTATTGACAGCTGCCTGAACGAAAAGTATTTTTTCCCAATATACATTCTCGGAGTTTTCTTTAACAAGATTTGTTAAGATGAAAGCAGGAACAATTTGCAAGGATTCCAGCAAATGAATCTCAGATAGTCCTCAAATCTATGACAATTGGGTAAAGAATTTCTTTTACTAAGAAAGGCACTTGTACTCAAATTTAAGACCCAGGGTTGTTAAGCAAATCTGGCTTTGTTAGGAAGGGCCCAAATGTCCTCCATTGCAACCGTCATAAATACAGGCGGGTTGCCAAGCACCCAAAGTTTGATCACATGACCACAAGGACATTGCGATCGTCATAGGTGCGAGGACCAGCCATGAATCAGGAGGTTTTTTTTGCTCCTTTTCAAACATTATTGAAATGTTTATTGAAAAGCTTTGGGATTTAATCCCGAGGAAGTGCCATTGAGATTCAAAGCACACCTGTCTATGGAGATTCTCAGTCATCCAGGTTGTCCCAAAGGTGCTTTTTTTTTTCAAGAGACACCTGGACTTTCTTGTTTTTCTTTGGAGATTTTTCACTTCTCATCCAAACAGCTTCTCCAGCTCTGACCGGATGGTGGGGAACAGAAGGATTGATATTCCTTGCAGACAGCTGGTCATTTGCATCCTTTTAGAGAGTTGTTGATTCCACTTGGAGATTTGTCTGTTCTCAGAGTTACCTAAGTAATGCAAACGGGTGTGGAGACTTCTGCATTTACAACACAATCTTTTCAGCAAGAAGTTTCCACACACCCATTTGCACCATTCAGGTGACCCTCAGGGCACAGAAAATCCTCCAAGTGGCCTCAACGACTCTCAGAAAGAGCACTAACAACCTGATGACTGCAAGGAATATAAATCCTTCCATCCTCCACCATTCACTCAGAAACTGAAGAAGCTTCTTGGATGAGAAGCAAAACTTCTTCGGGAGGAAAAACCAAAATTCCAGTTGTTTTTTGGAAGAAAAAAAACATCTTTGGAACAAAGCAACAGTTCTATGACTTGCATCTCGACCCTAACAGAAGTCTGGGTTTTTTTCATCTTTCTAGATAAGTGTCGTAGTGAAGAAGATATTAGAAGTATGGATGCCCGGAACAAAATCACTCAGGACATGTTACAGCCGAAGGTTCGAAGGTCCTTTTCAGATGAAGAAGGGAGTTCAGAAGACCTGCTGGATCTGTCAGATGTAGACAGTGAATCCTCTGATATTAGGTGAAAAGCTCATTTATTTATTTACTTTATGTTTGTCAAACATGTACAAGATAAACAGGTATACAGTAGTGGCCAAAATTGTGGAAACCTTTTGGGGAAAGCATACAGAACTTTTGAGATTTGATGGCAAATAACACCACTTTGTTTTGGAGTAGTACCATAAAATTATATATCCATGGAAAGATAATTTAATCAAGAATGTAACTTTTATGAAGGATTTGCTATTAGAATAGCAGTTGTAAAGAAAAGTGAAAGGCGTAGAAAAAAATGAGGCATACCAAAATTATCACTATGTCAGTTAATACTTAGTTGGGTAACCTTTAGCATGAATTACAGCCTTACAACAGCTTCCCATGGAGTGAACCAAGTCTTTTAATTCTGCAGCTGTTCTAATGTGAAACCAAGATGGAACCAACACAAATCTTCATTCTCTAATAATAATGTAATTCCAAGTGCAATTTACTAAGGGGTCACAGACTGACCCCCTTCTTGAAAATCTTCTCTTGAGTGAGGAATTTGAACCTAAGGCTAGGGTGTTGGCTTAATAATGTGAAGCAGGCCTGATTCAAAATATTGCGCGTTTAGGATCGCAAACCTTTTTAACCCACCGCATCTCTTCCCCAGATTCTATCATTGTGCGATCCCAGAAAAATTGCAGCTGCTTTAAAGAGCTATATACTGTAGTGGCCAAAATTGTGGAAACCTTTTGGGAAAAGTGTATTTTTGAGGTTTGGTGGCTAATAACACCACTTTCTTTGTAGTAGTAGTACCATAAAATGGTATATCAATGGAAAGATAATTTAATCAAGAATGTAATGCAATAACTTTTATGAAGGATTTGCTATTAGAATAGCAGTTATAAAAAAGAAAAGTGAAACACGTAGAAAAAACAAGATATACAAAAATGATCACCATGTCAGTTAATACTTAGTTCAGTAACCTTTAGCATGAATTATGGCCTTACAACCTCTTCTCATGGAGTGAACCAAGTCTTTTAGTTCTGCAGCTGTTATAACTGCTATTCTAATA